GAAGGAGGAGGGGGAAATGAAAAAGAAACTAGATCATAATAGTCTTAAAAAATAAAACAAAATATATATATTATAGACAAAAAAGTGATAAGAGTAAAGAATTTCCTTTAAAAAAGCAATTCAAGAAAGTATTTCTTTCAAAATATTTTTACACAAAGCTGGTGATAATGAGAACAGGATGGGAGGATATATAGCCCAATAAGTCGTATATTTATATGAAGGGGGCAAAAGAAAAGCCCTCATTCAGACCCAAGGGTTGGAGGGTTTTAAGTTCATATATCCATCTAGACTCCCTCTGTCTAAGTGTTTTATCAAAATCCCCCCGTCTAGGGGTCCTTTTTACTAATTCCAATCCACAGAATTTAAGATTACTAGAGTCCCCATGATGGAATTCTTTAAGGTGTCTAGATATAGGTGTCTCAAGACGGTTCCTAGGAGATCTTACATGTTCCATAATTCTATCTTTAAATGCTCTAAAGGTTTTCCCTACATATTTCTGTCCACAGGTACATTGGAGCAGATATACAAGGCCTTTAGTATTACAGTTAAAGAAGCTTTTAACTTTGAAGGAAACCAGTTCCTGGCTGTCACTGACAGTCTTGGAGTTCTTAAGAATAAACTTACAGGCTACACATTTACCACAGCCATATGTGCCCGTTGGTGGAGTCCCCAACCAGGTGGCACGTGGTTGTGTTCTAATAGAAAAATGGCTGGGTACCAGTAAGTCGCGAATGTTCCGTCCCCTCCTAGCTGTAATATTGGCATGTGGGCTTAGAGCCCCCTTAAGATGTACATCATTCAATAGTATGGGCCAGAATCTCTCAAGTGACTTCCGTACTTCTGGCCACCCCCTATCGAATGTTGCAATCATACGGATGATTCCAGTATCCTTCTTAGTCGTTTTATCAGTATGGTCACATAGTAGTTCACCCCTCTCTGTTTGTAATGCCTTCTTATAGGCTCTTTTTAAACAGCGGTTCGGATAACCCTTCTCCTTAAAATGTTGTCGAAGTTGTCTTTTTAGTCCACTGTCATATATGAGTTCTTAGGTTTCTTTGGTCCTATTCTTAATAATAAAATTTATTTATTTTCCTTAGACGTTGATCTGTTTGGGGTGGTTTGAAGAGGAACAACCTGATTTATCACGGGGTTGTTCTTTCTTCACTTTTTTGTATATTTTGTGCTTTATGCAGGGTTATGCCCGTATTCAGGGCCGGCCTTAGGGGTGTGCGAGCTGTGCGACCGCACAGGGCGCCATGGAACAGGGGGCGCCCTGTGGCCGACACAGCTCACTCATGGCCGGAGTGCAGGGGAGCTAAAGGAGGTACCTGGCTGGAGGATTAATTGTTCTCCACCCAGGTCTATTTAAAAAAAAAAATAAAAATAAAAAATCGCGGCAGAGGGGGCGGGGTTTACCGAGCGGCGGAGGCGGGGCTTATCGAGAGGCGGAGACGGGGCTAATACCCCCCGAAGCCCCTGCTGTACAGGAAGAGGGAAAGATGCTTCCCCATCAGCCAACTGCATCCACTGGAAAGAGGTAAGTGTGTGTGTGTGACTGTTTGCCTGTTTGTGTGACTGTCTGTGTGTGTGTGACTGTTTGCCTGTTTGTGTGACTGTCTGTGTGTGTGTGTGACTGTCTGTGTGACTGCCTGCCTGTGTGCGTGTGACTGTCTGTGTGTGTGTATGTGACTGTCTGTGTGACTGCCTGTCCTTGTGTGTGTGTGTGTGTGTGTGACTGTCTGTCTCTGTGTGTGTGTGTGTGTGTGACTGTCTGTCTGTGTGACTGCCTGCCTGTGTGCGTGTGACTGTCTGTGTGTGTGTGTGACTGTCTGTGTGACTGCCTGTCCTTGTGTGTGTGTGTGTGTGTGACTGTCTCTGTGTGTGACTGCCTGCCTGTGTGTGACTGTCTGTGTGTGTGACTGTCTGTGTGACTGCCCATGTATGTGACTGCCCATGTATGTGACTGCCTGTGTGTGTGACTGTCTGTCTGTGTGACTGTCTGTCTGTGTGACTGCCCGTGTGTGTGACTGCCTGTGTGTGTGAGACTGTCTGTCTGTGTGACTGTCTGTGTGTGTGACTGTCTGTCTGTGTGTGTGACTGCCTGTGTGTGTGACTGCCTGTATGTGACTGCCTGTGTGTGTGACTGCCTGTATGTGACTGCCTGCCTGCCTGTGTGTGTCTGTCTGTAACTATCTGTCTGTGTGTGACTGCCTGCCTGTGTGTGTGACTTTCTATCTGTGTGACTGCCTGCCTGTGTGTGTATAACTGTCTATGTGTGTGTTACTGTGTGTCTGTCTGTGTGTGTGACTGCCTATGTGACTGTCTGTCTGTGTGTGTGGCTGTAGCTGTGCCATTGTTTGTGCCTGTGCCTGTATGTGTGACTGCCTTTAACTGAGTGTGTGTGTACATGCCTGTAACCGAGTTTAAATTTCCCCCACCCCTTCCTGTCAAGGCCGCACTTTGACTGACAGACGCTCACTCACTGACAGGCGCACACTCACTGACGACACATACACACTCACTGACGACACATACACACTCACTGACTGACACATACACACTCACTGACTGACACATATACACTCACTGACCAACACACACATTCCCTCACAGACACACACACATTCACTTACAGACACACACAATTACACACTTACAGACACACACACACACACACACACACACATTCACTTCAAAATAAACACTCACAGACACACACACAGACATTTCCACTAACACTCACAAACTAATATTTTTTTACATTTATTTTAAATCCACCCAGCCTCCCTGGGAAAGCTGGAGTGGATTTCTTACCAGCAGTCCAGTGTGGCTGCTGGGCAGGCAGGCAGGGGGCGCACAGGCTGAGTAAGCAGCGCTTAGTGATGCCGGGAGCCGGACTGGCGTCATATTCTGGCTCCCGGCTTCATTAAGCGGCGCAGAGGAAGCTGAGCAGGAAGAGCTCAGGTGAGTATGCTCCTTCGCTGCCCGCTGCCAGCCTTGGGGGGGCTCAAAAGTGGCCAGCCGGTCAGCTCTTGAGCCCCCCAGGATGCGAGGCAAGCAAGGGACCTGCCTGGGGGTTTGGAGGGATGCTTTTTTTTTGCCACCCCCTGCAAAGTGGCGCCCAAGGCAGATGCCTTGTTTGCCTCGTGATACACACGTCCCCGGTGCCTGTGTGTGTTACTGTATTCAGGCAACTTGGTGAGAGGTGGGGGGGGCGCCGTGAAGACTTTTTGCACAGGGCGCCTAATTGCCTAAGGCCGGCCCTGCCCGTATTGCCACCCTTATAACCCGTTTTTCTCTGTACTCCCTATTTGGATTTTCTATCTAGGGAATACTTCTATTTATTACAAATGCCTTGTTAGCCTTGTGGCTAACAGACATGCTGGGCGGGCTGGTTGCAGGGCGGGCTGCTGGGCGGCTGACGAGGGAGCACTTCCCCTGAGCTCTCTGCTCTGCTCCCTTGCGCGCCGCCCTCAGAGTGAGGCTGGGAGCCGGAAGATGACGTCATATGTTCATTCTTGCTTGAATGCTAGGATGCATGCAGTGCCACAAACACAGATACACACAGATAGCCACACAGATAGCCACACAGATATAGAGACATAGGTACACATACAAAATGATGCACACCGACACACAGGTACACATACATATAAACCAACAACTAAATGTAACCATTAACATAGTTTTAGCTATTGTAGCGGGATCTGGGTAACCCGGCGGGCTACTTCCTTTCAGTAATAATAGGTCAGACCCATTTTCCCCAGTAACTGGATGGTACACAATTTCAGGGTACAATCTTTGACAATCTTTATTTGGGCACACAGCTTTTTATGCACAGACCCCAGCAAGGGGTCTCCATCCACCACAACACAATTTCATGCAGGAAGGGGCTGGGTGATAGTATTTCCAGAGCGGGAGATGGTTATCTAACAGGACACAGGGACACACATGAGTACACATTACATACAGGGGGGTGAACTTTGGGGCTCGGCACCCCGGAACAGAAAGAGAGTACAGGGTTAAAACTTATACGGATGAATAGCCCCAAAGCGGGGCAATCGGATGTACAGAGCCTGAGATATCAGTGTCGAAAGTCTGGGGCTCAAAGCTCTGTACATCCCCAAAATTATTTTCTTGGTGTTGCTTGGTTTAGTCGGGCAAATTCAAACTTCGCGCCCAAACCAAGCAACAACCAATCAGCTGAAAGGGCGTGATCCAAATTGCGCCAATCAGCATTCAGGGGAGGAAGGAGTGTCGCCACCCAATCCAAAGAAAGGGCGCGAAACTCGGCTGCACCAATCGGTGCTTGGTGAGGGGAGGGCTTTTGCTACCCAATCAGAAGAAAGGGCGTGGAACCCTGTTTGAACAAGTGCTCCTTTTCGGATTAGTCGCCCGCTCCCTGTGGCAACCAATCAGTGCTTTACTTGTGCTGACCAACCAGGAGATTGGCGCAAACCATGAATGGGTGCTCCTTCTCCCATTGGTCGACACTGACTTCCATGCGGCCAGCGGCAACCCTGCAGCCATGAGACCGACTCACAGCCCCAGGGATTCCCTGCCGGCACGCATCCGTCTCTCTGGTGTATACCTGAGGGTAGGAGAGAGCGTTCGCCTGGGCAGCCACAGGCCTAGCCTTGTAGCTCCCAGGTGTGAGAGTGACAAGTGATTGTACCTCCGTTAGGAGCAGGTAGGATGAACCCTGACACAGGGATCAAAGACAGTGTACGCAGGCCGGTTCCGGAGCCGAATGCTCCCCCTGGTGGGATTTTACAGTAAAAATTAAGGAAAGGGGAACATTAGAAAGGGGAACACACATTCTAGGAGCGCACATCCACAAATAGAAAAAGGGCAATTCTCAGTTAGGCAGCGGTGCCGCCACAGCTATAGTTCTAGCTTCCCTCCCCCCTCCTTTGTATGTGCCTGCTCCTGCCTCATCTCTTAGCAAATTGGGAGGAAGTTTTCTGAACTCACTTACTCCCAGCAGGCTTTGTGGGGAGGGGAACTAACATTAGTTAACACTTACAGACACACACACACACACACACACATTCACTTCAAAATAAACACTCACAGACACACACACAGACATTTCCACTATCACTCACAAACTAATATTTTTTACATTTATTTTAAATCCACCCAGCCTCCCTGGGAAAGCTGGAGTGGATTTCTTACCAGCAGTCCAGTGTGGCTGCTGGGCAGGCAGGCAGGGGGCGCACAGGCTGAGTAAGCAGCGCTTAGTGATGCTGGGAGCCGGACTGACGTCATATTCTGGCTCCCGGCTTCATTAAGCGGCGCAGAGGAAGCTGAGCAGGAAGAGCTCAGGTGAGTATGCTCCTTCGCTGCCCGCTGCCAGCCTTGGGGGGGCTCAAAAGTGGCCACGTCCCCGGTGCCTGTGTGTGTTACTGTATTCAGGCAACTTGGTGAGAGGTGGGGGGGGCGCCGTGAAGACTTTTTGCACAGGGCGCCTAATTGCCTAAGGCCGGCCCTGCCCGTATTGCCACCCTTATAACCCGTTTTTCTCTGTACTCCCTATTTGGATTTTCTATCTAGGGAATACTTCTATTTATTACAAATGCCTTGTTAGCCTTGTGGCTAACAGACATGCTGGGCGGGCTGGTTGCAGGGCGGGCTGCTGGGCGGCTGACGAGGGAGCACTTCCCCTGAGCTCTCTGCTCTGCTCCCTTGCGCGCCGCCCTCAGAGTGAGGCTGGGAGCCGGAAGATGACGTCATATGTTCATTCTTGCTTGAATGCTAGGATGCATGCAGTGCCACAAACACAGATACACACAGATAGCCACACAGATAGCCACACAGATATAGAGACATAGGTACACATACAAAATGATGCACACCGACACACAGGTACACATACATATAAACCAACAACTAAATGTAACCATTAACATAGTTTTAGCTATTGTAGCGGGATCTGGGTAACCCGGCGGGCTACTTCCTTTCAGTAATAATAGGTCAGACCCATTTTCCCCAGTAACTGGATGGTACACAATTTCAGGGTACAATCTTTGACAATCTTTATTTGGGCACACAGCTTTTTATGCACAGACCCCAGCAAGGGGTCTCCATCCACCACAACACAATTTCATGCAGGAAGGGGCTGGGTGATAGTATTTCCAGAGCGGGAGATGGTTATCTAACAGGACACAGGGACACACATGAGTACACATTACAT